AAGGCGGCCGAGCGTGGTGTTGGCCACACACCCTCTTGCGTGAAGTGCCGGCAAGTGCAGTCACTCTCCCTCTGAAAGACATGGGGAGATCTTACAAACTCCACTGACTCTCACTCTGTAGAAGATGGGGAGATCATACAAACTCCACTCACTGTCACTCTGTAGAACAGGGGGAGATTATACAAACTCCACTCACTGACTCTGTAGAACAGGGGGAGATCATACAAACTCCACTCACTCTCACTCTGTAGGACAGGGGGAGATCATACAAACTCCACTCACTCCTACTCTGTAGAACAGGGGGAGATCATACAAACTCCACTCACTCACTCTCACTCTGTAGAACAGGGGGAGATCATACAAACTCCACTGACTCTCACTCTGTAGAAGATGGGGAGATCATACAAACTCCACTCACTGACTCTGTAAAACAGGGGGAGATCATGCAAACTCCACTCACCCTCACTCTGTAGAACAGAGGAGATCATACAAACTCCACTCACTCTCGCTCTGAAGAACAGGGGGAGATCACACAAACTCCACTCACGATCACTCTGTAGAACAGGGGGAGATCATACAAACTCCCCTCACTCTCACTCTGTCGGACAGGAGGAGATTATACAAAGTCCACTCACTGACTCTGTAGAACAGGGGGAGATCATACAAACTCCATTCACTCTCACGCTGTAGAACAGGGGGAGATCACACCAACTCCATTCAATCTCACTTGAACAAGGGGGAGATCATAGAAACGCCACTCACTCTCACTGTTGGACGGGGATAGAGCATACAAACTACACTTACTCTGTAGAACAGGGGGAGATCATCCAAACGCCACTCACTCTCACTCTGTAGAACAGGGGGAGGTCATACAAACTCCACTTACTCTCACTGTCGGACGGGGATATCATCCAAACTCCACTTACTCTGTAGGACAGGGGGTGATCATACAAACAGCACTCACTCGCACTGTAGCACAGGGGTGGTGGTGGTGCAGCTGCCTCCAGATTGGGTGGTATTCGTGACTATATCACATCACAGAATCCATTACACCCGACACTCAAACCTCATCCAGCACACTGCCCCGAAGCCTAAGATTTTAATGGTAATAATATAAATTATTCTGCTGCTGATCATCATCATACTCATGATGATGATCATCATCATCATTATCATGATGATGCTCCCTTTGATGGTGATGCTAGCTGATGATGATGGTGATCATCATGATGATGACACTCTCTTTGGTGGTGATGATGATGGTGATAATGATAATGCTGATCATGATGCTGCCGGTAATGATAATGATGGTGATGTTAATGACGATCATTATGTTGCAGGTTATGATGGTGATGATGATGTTGATCATCACGCTGGTGATGATGGTGATTCTGGTAATGATCACGATCCTGCCGGACATGATGATGATGGTGATGATGGTCGTGGCGACGTTCTTTAGAACTCACCCGTTTGTCGCCCCTCAGCTCAGCAAATAACAAAGCAACGTCGGAGTTTCTATCACATCAATTATTACAACAATCCTATCGATGATGACTAAAAATGATGATGATGATGGACGACGATCTCATCACTTGTTGTTGAAGTCCTTGTTCTCAGCAAGCGACTCGGAGCGTACCGTCTTTTATGCATGGTGGGGTCCCCCCGCCTCTCCCGCTCCCCACCAATCCACTACCCCAACTCCACCCACCTCCACCAACCCCCCCACCCCCACTAATCTACCCCCCCTACCAATCCCTTCGCCCACCTCACCCCACCACCAAGGCCCCTACCCCCCATCTCCCTCCACCTCCCCCCCATCCCTCCCGTACCGGCACAACATCTCAAGGGAAGACCTCAGAGTGGGTTGTTGAGTGGGGGTTGTTGTCGTCGTCGTTGTTGTGGGGTGTGGTTGTTGTTGTGAGGTGTGGTAGTGGTGGTTGTTGTTGTTGTTGTGCCAAGGGGGAACGCCTCGTTGTGCAAGGAGCAAATTAGCAATTAGTGTGGAGGGTGGGGTGGGGGCACTAGGGGGAGACGGTGGGTGCACAGGGATGCAAGAGGGTGGCACGTGTCTCCTGCTCTCTCCGAAATGGGCGGTGCTCAGGAATAGCCAGGGAACGACCGAGACAATGGAGAGAGGGGGAGAGGGGAGAGCGAGGTGCATGAAGCAGTGACGCTTCGTGGCTGCACCTATGTCAGATTTTCTTTCGGTTTGTGTTTTTTTTTGCTTTCTTATGAATTTTGGTGAGCCAGGCTACTGCACTCACCCAACCAGCCAGACACTCATTCACTCATCCAGCCACTCATTCACTCAGCCAGCGACTCATTCACTCAGCCAGCCACTCACTCACTCTCTCAACCAGCCGCTCACTCACTCAGCCAGAGACTCACTCAGCGACTCACTCACGCTCTCAACCAGCCACGTGCTCAATCAGCCAGCCACTCACTTACTCAGACAGCCAATCACTCACTCAGCCAGCCACTCATTCACTTAGCGACTCACGCTCTCAGACAGCCACTCACTCAGCGACTCACTCTCTCAACCAGAAAATCACTCACTCAGCCAGCCACTCACTCACTCAGCCACTCACTCAGTCACTCACTCAGCCAGCCACTCACTCACTCAGCCAGCCAGCCACCCACTCTCTCAGCGACTCACTCACTCACTTAGCAACTTACTCAATGCAGTGTGAGAGAGTGCAGTGGTAGTGCCATGTGTCACGAGCCCATCCTGGTTAAGAACAACAACACTTACGTATATATAGAGCACGGTTGGCTACGTACGGTGCGAAAGAAGTTCAACGCACGTAAGCACATCTTTTTTAAAATTAATTTAATTCTTTAAAATGGCTGACAACAGGGGAAGTGAGTACTGTGGTGATGACGTTACAAGGCGTGATGACGTTACAAGGCGTGATGACGTTCCAAGGCGTGATGACGTTGCAAGGCGTGTTGACGTTACAAGGCGTGATGACGTTCCAAGGCAACGTAGCGGAACGGCCATTTGCTACATTCGGTCCAAACAAGCGAGTAATTTCGATTTAAAGCTTTCGTGACTGCAAGGATTCATCTTCTTTGGTTCTTTCGGTAAAGTCACGTAGAATGAGAATAAAGTTAATAAATTGATCAAATAAAATAACACAATAATATTATCTTAGTAACCATTGGAAAGATGTTTTAAACCATTTCCGTTCTTAATTAATTGTATTTTACGATGACCTTCAGACCGCAGCTCTTTCGCTGGCATTGACTCTTAATACCTCTCACACCACGGTTAATGGTATGGTTTACAACATTGAGTGTAACAGCGCCTCGCAGCTGTCTCTCTCCCCCTCCTCTGTTCCGACCATGGATGAACTCGTCCGTCTGAACGGGACCCGTAGCTATCCGTGTTGCTAAAGTTGAGGGTAAGAATCCACCCATTTTTTTCGCCATATAGCATTGTGATATATAACGACTTATTGTTGGTAGCTTAGTTGATTGGAGAATATATAGAGTTTATTGATAACATTGTTGTAATTTATATTTTAGTTTTTTTTATTGGTTCACTATGTAGTATTCATCATATATTGTAGTGTATACCCAGTTACTGTGAATAGCTCAGATGTGTAGGCCTTAACTTCAACATAGCCATTTCTGTGACAAGTCACAAGCTAATCACTCAGTTATTTCAATGCTAAATTCGCCTAGTTATTTCAATGCTAAATTCTCCTGTTTGATTTGTACTAGGTGCCTCTGTGAATGTATATGCTCTGACTTTGACATAGCTATTTCTGTGACCAGTTGCAAGCTAATCACTCAGCTATTTTAATGCTAAATTCTATGCTAATTCCTTTGTCAAGGGGTGCCTCTGCGGATGTGTATGCTTTAACTTTAACAAAGCCATTTCTGTGACCAGTCACAAGCTAATCACTCAGCCATTTCAATGCTAAATTCTATGCTAATTCCTTTGTCTAGGCGCTTTGTTTCTTCTCACATAGCTTAAAGGTCGCGATCTGAGCGTGGCTTTTTCACTCCAGCGCTGTCCTCCAGACAGTCTCGTCCCTTCACCTGATGAAGGCCGCTTGTGTTGTGGCCGAAACGTCGTGAGAATATTATTGCGTTATTTTATTTTATCAATGTATTATTTTATTCTCATTCTACGTGACTTTACCGAAAGAACCAAAGAAGAAGCGAGGAATTGCTAAGAATCAAGGTAAGAACTTTCTAACTTCTAACCCAGTGGTTCTTAACCTTCACTTGCAGCCTTGCACCCATTTGGTTCTCAATAGTAACACACAAAAACTATCATGTTAATAAATACGGACATTGATGAAACAAAATACATTTTGACTTTAAACTTTCGTGACTGCAGGAATTCATATTCTGTGGTTCTTTCGGTAAAGTGACGTAAGAAAAAAATAATAACAATAAAACACAAAAATAAAGTGAATAAAAAATATAAAATACATAAAATAATTTATTATCTTTTTTATTCACTTTATTTTCATTTGTATTTGTATTATTTTATTGTTATCATTATTGTTTTCTATCTACGTGACTTTACAGAAATAAAAATAGAATATGAAACAAAATTAATTGTAACTTACGTGCCCCATGCTTAATTTGTGTTGTCAATGATTTACTTTCTAAACAAATCAGGCAATGTCTTGCATCGACCCCCATCCCAGGTTAAGAACCACTACACTATAAACTACACTATACACTACTCTACACTACACTACGCACTCCACTATACACTCCACTTTATACTCCACTGTACACTGCTATGCACTACACTTTACACTACTATACACTACACTACTATACACTCCACACAACTATACACACTATGCCATATTCTATACTTTACACAACTATAAACTGCCCACTTCTATCCACTACACCATACACTACACTGTACACTACTATACACTACACACTATGCCATATACTACACTTTAGACGACTATACACTACCCACTATTATCTACTACACTATACACTAATATACACTACACTACAATACACACTATGCTATATACTACACGAGACAATACTATACACTACACGACCCCAGGTTAAGAACCACTGTTCTAAACACTATTATTATAGTCATCGTTTCTCTGAAATTCACCGACTCTCAAATCACTCACAAGCAGATTTCCAATGGGTGCTCTACACAGGCCACACTGAAGGTCAGTGGCCAGCTCGGACGAACCCTCTCAACCTTCGGTGTGATTCACATCGAGCCTACCAACAGGAAGCGATGTTTCATTTAATCTTTTTTACGTTGATGGGGAGGGCGGAAGTCTGCACAACAACAACAATAAAACAACAACCGACCACCGCCACCACTGCCTCCACCCCCGCCCCTAACTGCTGGGCCATATTTTACTTGGCAACAACCTCGCCAGCCCACGCCTGACCTCCGCCGTCCTGAGTCCGTAGATGACTGGGTTCAGCGCGGGCGGCAGGATGAACTGGACTGTCTGGAGGGCGGTCACCCCCTCGCGGGACGTGGCCGCGCCCAGCCTGAGGCCCGTGGCGAACGTGAAGAAGATCGACGTGAAGTAGACGAGCACGAGGAGCAGGTGCGTGACGCACGTGCTCAGGGCCCTCCGGCGCCCGCCGGGGAGCCGCTGCCCGCGGCACTCGCGGAGGATGAGCGCGTAGGAGGCCGCGACGGGGCCCATCGGCAGCGCGGTGCCCAGGAGGATGTTGGCGTAGACGACGGGCGCCTCGTAGCCCACCTCGCCGCACATGAGCCGGCGCGCGGCCGAGAAGTCGCACGTGGACGAGGGCACGACGCGCGCCCGGCAGGAGCGGAGGCGCGCGACCACGGCGACGTGGCCGGCGCCCTTTGATCGCCGCCCTTTTATATGGCTGAGCAAAAAGCTGTTTCGGCATGCGGTGGCTGGGCATGCGGTCTACATTACGCAGCCAATGCAGCCTTGCCTGCCGGAGGAGCACACCGATGTGACTTTGTCCGAATCTTTCAATTGATTTATTAGCTCCTCCCATAACCCAGCCTGGATAAATCCAGCAAGGGTTGTAGGCAGGCCAGCCTGAATGTTTCTTACTGCCGAAGATGTTCCGTTAGGGCGGTCAACGTTTTGCAAGCGTACAGAAGGGAGGGGATGATCATTGCCGAGAAGACCCGAAGCTTTGAGTGGAGTGACAGACCAGGTAGCTTCCGCACAGCGTAATCCAGCCGATGAAAATATATTGCCACTAGACTGATTCGGAGTAAGAATTCTGCTTTCAAACCAGAGCCTGTCTTAAGGACACTGCCCAGGTATGGAAAACTCTCCACTCTCTCCACAAATGCCCCAAAACCAATGGGGATCTGAGGAGGTGGAGTGTTTGATCGCACACAATACCCAGGCAGGGGCTTAGTTTTGGAGGGGTTGATGATAAGGCCCCACCTCCTTGTGGCATGCTCTAGATCTAGAAGCAGCGCCTCCAACTCTTCCTCTGAGTAAGCAGCAATCACCAGATCATCGGCATACGTAACATGGTTGACCAATAGAGAGCCATCCCATGACCGCACCCGGGCATCTATCAGACTCCTATTGTATCTGTACCAGATGGAGATTCCTCCAGTACAGGGATGGAAGGCTTCTCCAACTACGTGGTCAAAAAACATGTTAAATAATGTGGGAGCCAGAGGACATCCATGTCGAACCCCAACATGAACTGGGAATGGCTCCAACTCCTAGCCACGCATCTTTACCCGGGCCTGCCCACCATCATGAAGGTCCTTAAATATTGTTAGGAGAAAGTCAGGAACTCTGAAAGGATGGAGAAAACTCCAGATCTCAGTCCTTTCGATAGTATCACAGGCGTTGGCCAGGTCAATAAAGCAGAGACGTAGGTCCTTTCAGCATTCCCTACACCTCTGCTGTAGCAAATTGACGGAAAATATGGCATCTGTGCAGGACCGCACTGGGGTAAAACCATTGGGCCTCCGCAAGCCTCTCTTCAGCGTGCCTGGCATGGAAATGTTGAATAATCTTTGCCAGGACCTTTCCCAGCAGAATTGTTACAGTCTGTGCAGTCCCCTTTCTTAAACACTGTTATTATGAAGTAATATAGTGCAGTCTGCACACAAATGCCACCTTTCCTTAGCACGTATATAACCTCCTTGTTGCAACAGCTCTCTCGCTTGTTCAACAGTTCGACTGCTGGATTATATTTTTTCTGCCTGAGGACGACCGCCTGTGTTGCGATCGAAACGTCGTGATTTATTGTTACTTTATACCTACGTGACTTTACTGAAAGAACCAAAGAGTGTCATAGAAGGCGTCTAACATATCGGCCTTGCCTGCATTCCTCCTTCTGTAGGGACGTAAGCAACCGCCACCATCCCTCACCTCCTGTTGATAGCAAAGGCGAGCCCACAGTAGCCTGGGGCTTACAGCTTCCCAAACATCACCTCCACGCTCCCATGCCCCCTTCATGTTTTTTGTTTAGAAGAAGAGCCACTCCCTGTTGTTTGGCAGTCTCCTGCAATAGTAGAGGACTGTCCACCCCTCATGGTGATTGGAGCCAGATCCAGTCCACCGTACCTTATGAAAGCCGCAGAGATCCAGGTGGTACCGGTCCAGATCCCGACAGAGGAGTGGCAGCTCTCCTGCGCTTTGAGCGTTTGAACATTCAACATTGCCACTTGCAGTAATTTTTTTACCATTCCTGGAGCAACCCCGAGGGTATGAAATGAGTCCAACTGTGGCCTCCGGGACACGCTTAGTTAGATTTTTTACACGTCTTTTTGCGGTATTTGAATTGAAGGTCGAGGGGTTACCAGACTCTCGCACGCGTCCAGAGACCCCATTCGCGGCTGTGGTGGCTAAAAGCATGAAGAGGGAAAAAGCCAATTGGAATTGGCCATTCCTCATATGGCGTTGGTCACATCAATCACGGCGTTATCATCCGGCACCAGAGAGGTGGTCGGGTGTTATTTATGCGTCCGCGTGTACGTGGTACCGCGCATCCCGCGGGGAGCTGAGAGGGCTACCCGATCCTCGTGTCTTCCCGCAGAGGGGCGAGAGGCTTCGCAGGCCTAACCCGGCTTCGCAAGAACCTCACAAGGCTCTCCTTCACCTCGGCCGTCCGCAGGCCGTAGACAATGGGGTTGAGCACCGGCGGCAGGACGAACTGCAGGCTCTGGAGCGACACGCTCAGCTCCGGCGACGCCGCGGACGACGGGGTGCCACCCCCCGTGCCGCTGGCGACCGTCGCGAGGATGGCGCCGAAGTAAATGGCCGCCACCACGAGGTGGGTGCCGCACGTGCGCAGGGCCTTGTTCCGGCCGCGGCGGAGCGCCGGCTTGCGGCACTCGTGCAGGACGAGCGCGTAGAAAGCCGCGATGGCGCACAGAGGCAGCGCTATGCCCGCCACCGACATGGCGTAGGTGTACGCCTGCCCGAGGGCGACGTGGTTGCAGGACAGCACCCTGAGGGCCAGGAAGTCGCACGTGGACGTGATCAACGAGCGCGGCTTGCACAGGTCGAGATCGACCGCGATGGCGACGTTGCCGAGGCTCTGGGCGGCGGCGAGCGCGACGGCGAAGGCCAGGGCCCTGAGGGCGACGGCGTTGGATGCCGCGCCGCGGTAGGCGAGCGGTCGGCACACCGCCAGGTAGCGGTCGGCAGCCATGGCCGCCAGGATGTAGCCGTGCACGCGGAAGGACACGTGGTAGGCAAACATCTTGGCAATGCACCAGGGCGCCGAGATGCGGGGGGAGTCGCCGACGAGGTCGTACATCGTGCGCGGCAGCGCGTTGGTGTTCTCCACCAGGTCGGTGACGGCCAGCGCGGCGACGAGCAGGTGCATGGGCTTGTGCAAACGACGGTCGCGGGCGATGGCGAGGCACAGCAGCGAGTTGCCCGCCAGCGTGAGGGCGTAGACGAGGAGGAGGAAGGCGAACACGGAGCGCCTGACAGTGGGCGGCTCACGGAACACCATCTGGATGTGGATGAGGTCCGTCGCGGCGGCGGCGGCCGCGAGGAGGGGTGCGGAGACGTTGGGCCCGGGGCCGTCCTCCATTTTGTAATTTGCTGCGAGCGGGAAGATGGCGGCCACTGCTGTCGCCGTCCCCTCCCACGTGACTCCTCTCCCCTTTGCTCCTCCCAAAAAACTCGAGGGTGGGACTGTGGGGGAGGGGGGGGGGGGCGGGGGGAGGGATTAAGTTTGAGCGAGTGCTCAGTTCGTTCGTTGAGCGGCGACGCACGTTCGGCTGGATACCGCTGTGAAAGAAACATGTCACTACATCTCCATGAGTAAATGAAAAAGAGTGATACCCCCGATAATGCAATTTGAACTTATTTAAAGGCTCCACGGTGGCAAGGAGATGTTAACTACATCGCCCGGTATGCGGGAGGTTGTGGGTGCCTATTCTGAACCTGACGATGCCTGATTTATATTTGGAGTCTGTGTGTCTCTCTCCGTTTTGGGATGTCATCTACCTCGCCTCGTATGCAGGTCGGGGGTTCAATCCCGATCCTGATGCCTGCTGTGCATTTGGAGTTTGCATGCTCTCTCCCGTGGTCACGTGGATTGGTTTTCTCCGCAATTATAACCATGCGTGTAGACTACAGGTAGTCCCCGACTTCCGATGGAGATGCGTTACGACGACCCCATCGTAAGTCGAAAATATCATAAGTCGAAAATGGCCTAGTCTACCCAGGAGTCTTATAGAATGGTTATAATTTAGCAAAACAGAGCAATTCACAGTACCGTACTGTATAAACTATATACTGTATGTATTTATTAATGACAATACTGTATTGCACAGTAAAATTGTAAAAAAAAAAGGTAAATTATTAGCCTTCCTCATAATAAAGGTTTTTGAGTTAGATCGCGTTATTTATAAATGTGTCGTAACCCTCCACCACCCGGCACGGCCAATCAGCAAAAAAAAGTGTCACGTTGACAAAAGACAAATAATTCACTACTTTAGCCCACCGGTGTGTTGAAGAGTGAATCCACAACATTTACAGTTTGAGTACGACGTTTCGCTCGTAAACACATCCAGCATCATCGGCAATTTGCCAGAATAGTAAAGCCCTCGCTTGCTCCCGGTTTTAAATAGAGCAGCAGGGTGACGTCATCATTTAAATCATATCAGGTGCAGTGATTTGAGGTGGAGGGGGGGGGGGTATTGTAATTATATAATCGATTTGTAATCAGTGAATGGTTATGATTAGTAATGAGTTGTAGATTAGTAATTAGTTGTAATGTGTGTTAGTGATTTTATGCTATGTTAGTAATCCGTTAATTAGTATGTGTTTCCCCTATAAGGAATTGTAATGTGCATTCATATTCTTAGCTCCCTCGGCAAAGCCACGCCGATGGGAAACAACAAAACAACAAATATATATTTTGTTATTTGATTGCTTCCCACCAACACGACTCCACCGAAAGAGCCAAGAACATGAATTACTGCAGTCACGAAAGCTTTAAGTCAAAATGTAATGTGTATTATTTAATAATACGCTTCCAGGCCGCACTAAGCCTGTAGCTGTCAGAGCGATTAAAGTAATTTTTATTCCTCTCAATTTCAATGGATTCTCTAATTAGTCTTTGCCAGTAATAATTAGTTTTACACAACACTGCAACATTATCCAAATCAATTGAGTGTCCTTGTTGGCAAGCATGTTCTGCCACTGCCGACAGTTGTGTTTGAGATAATTTAATATTTAGCTGATGTTCTTTTAGTCTTGCGCTGATGTTACGTCCCGTCTGTCCAATATAGCATCTGCCACATAAACAATTAATCCGATATACACCTTCTGTCGATAATTTAGGTAATGCGTCTTTAGTGCAAGATACTAGTTTTTGAATTTTGTGTACTGTACCAAATCTTACTGTAATGTTTTGCTTTTGCAAAACACGGGCTAATTTGTCAGTTACTCCTGAGATATATTAGACTCCTTCCACATAATGAGGCAGAGATGACTAGACATGAGGTTGCCAAAATAATTGAGAATAGCAAAGTTCCAAAAGTAAATATTAGCTCTAACGAAGCAAAAGCCTTAAGAGAGCTGCGTGTAAATAAGGATATCCAAATCCTAGCAGCTGATGAAGGCCGCACTACTGTAGTGATGTCACGAGCCGAATATGATAATAAAATTAGAAATTTACTAGAGGAAAGTACCTACATTAAAATTAAACGAGATCCAACAAATACTTTAGAACGTAAGACCACTGCAATAATTGCAAATTCATTAATCCCTAAAAATGAGCAATACCAAATTAAGCCAAGGGCCTCACAACCACCTAGACTCTATGGGCTACCAAAGATTCATAAAATCGGCATCCCATTACGACCCATAGTCAGTACAATTGGCTCTGCCACATATCAATTGGCAAAATATATAACCAAACAAATACAGCCCTACATCGGTAGGACATCTTCATTCATAAAAAAATTCAGAACATCTTGTGAATGTGATTAAATATATTAAACTTACTCCTGAAGATATTCTGGTAAGTTTGATGTTATTTCTCTATTCAATAAGGTTCCAGTGAACGAATCGTTTAAATTACTTGATACACTTGTAATGAATACCGGTTTACCAAAAGATTTTCCCTAACTTGCTGACCATTGTTTAAATAACACTTCTTATGGAGAGGGGATTTCTTAAAAAAAAGGAAGGAGCAGCAATGGGCTCTCCTTTATCCCCTGCTATAGCAAATTTGTACATGGAAAACTTTGAAATAAGAGCACTTGCATTGAGCACATTAAAACCATCCTTTTGGTTTAGATATGTGGATGACACTTTGGTTGTCTGGCCACATGGTAAAGATACACATAATGATTTTCTAAATCATCTTAATGCACAAAACCCGGCCATCCAGTTCACCATGGAAATGGAGGTGAATAACACACTCCCATTCCTAGATATTTTGCTTGGACATGGCCTAAACGGTAAAATAACACACAGCGTTTACAGAAAGCAAACGCACACTGATGCCTATCTGAATGCAGATTCATATCATCATCCAGCTCAGAAATCCTCTCTTATCAAGACGCTCATACATCGGGCTAAAACAGTGTCAGATGGTGAGAGTCTAGTGAGAGAGATCAAACACGTTAAAGACGCACTACGACAGAATGGCTACAATAATGCTCAAATTAACAGAGCACTGAATTCCAAATCACGATCGCAAAGCGATACTGCTGAAAGCGATCAGATTGTTAAAACAATAAAAATCCCATATATCTCAGGAGTAACTGACAAATTAGCCCGTGTTTTGCAAAAGCAAAACATTACAGTAAGATTTGGTACAGTACACAAAATCCAAAAACTAGTATCTTGCACTAAAGACGCATTACCTAAATTATCGACAGAAGGTGTATATCGGATTAATTGTTTATGTGGCAGATGCTATATTGGACAGACAGGACGTAACATCAGCGTAAGACTAAAAGAACACCAGAGAAATATTAATTTATCTCAAACACAACTGTCGGCAGTGGCAGAACATGCTTGTCAACAAGGACGCTCAATTGATTTTGATAATGTTGCAGTGTTGTGTAAAACTAATTATTACTGGCAAAGACTAATTAGAGAATCCATTGAAATTTAGAGGAATAAAAATAACTTTAATCGCTCAGACAGCTACAGGCTTAGTGCGGCCTGGAAGCGTATTATTAAATAATACACGTTACATTTTGACTTAAAGCTTTCGTGACTGCAGTAATTCATGTTCTTGGCTCTTTCGGTGGAGTCCCGTTGGGGGGAAGCAATCAAATAATCAAATATATATTTGTTGTTTTGTTGTTTCCCATCAGCGTGGCTTTGCCGAGGGAGCTAAGAATATGAATGCACATTACAATTCCTTATAGGGGAAACACATACTAATTAATGGATTACTAACATAGCATATAATCACTAACACACATTACAACTAATTACTAATCTACAACTCATGACTAATCATAACCGTTGACTGATTACTAATCGATTATATAATTACAATACCCCCCCCCCTCCGCCTCAAATCACTGCACCTGATATGAGTTAAATGATGACGTCACCCTGCTGCTCTATTTAAGACCGGGAGCAAGCGAGGCTTTACCATTCTGGCAAATTGCCCGATGATGCTGGATGTATTTACCAGCGAAACGTTGTACTCAAACTGTAAATGTTGTGGATTCACTCTTCAACACACCGGTGGGCTAAAGTAGTGAATTATTTGTCTTTTATCAACGTGACACTTTTTTTGCCAAATGGCCGGGTCGGGTGGTGGAGGGTTACGACGCATTTATAAATAAATCGATCTAACTCAAAAACATTTATTATGAATAATATTGGTCGCGAAAGCCTACGTGTTAATCTTAGCCTACCTATATGAACTGTAATTTCATGGAAAGTTTTTTCATGAAACAATCCTATCTGCTATACAAAATTTTAACATGCATTGAACGTAACGCATCGTGGCAACCCTAAAATGAAATCGCTAAAGCTACGTATCATACATGCATTGAAGGATCGTAACGTATCATATTATACTGTACTCACCAAGATTCTGTCCGTCGTCTGCATACTTGATCGATGTTAGGTTGTTGACGGTTACGTTAACTTAGTTGTTGGAAGAGGAGGATGGCGATGATAAAGTTACAGTATCGTACCTCGTACGCTGCTGCGCTTGCCTGCCGCGCGAATTATATTTTTTACAATTTTGTCGTATCGCTATCGCCATCGTAAGATCGAAATATCGTAAGTAGGAACGATCGTACATCGGGGACTACCTGATTTTTTATTATTTCACTCCTCTAAATGTCCAAATGATGGTGACCACTGTGGTCAGCCCTCAATGTTTGTTGCCCGTTCGCTTTTGAACAATAAGTTGATACTTCAGTGCGGCTTTGCCGGGTAGGACACGGGATGGTTTATTGTTGTATTTGTTTGTGTTTGGGTGATTGTGTTTAAGTCTCTTGTACTTTGCACTCCTATCGTGTTTTTGGAATGTTTGTTGTTGTAACGTTCTTACCACCGTAATGCCCCTACTGGATATCTGCGAATAAAGAGCTTCATAGCTCATCGGATTTCTCCTGCAGTGTCGATACAGATTTTGATTCTGCACGTCTCTACCGTTTTAACGTCGTTTCGCAAACATTATTATTCACGCCTCTTT